CCTGGATCCGTCGAGGGGCGAGTCTCCATGGGGAGACGCCTTCTTAGTTGATCCACGTGGCGCCTCCACTCGGATCCATCGGCCAGTCCGAACCTGTAGGAACAGCGGCCAGTTATGGTCACAACGGAGGCAGCCACCCATTTAGGTTCCCCGGAGAACGAGCGGGCCCAGACCAGATCCCCCACACGGAAAGAGCAGGGAGGGGAAACCCCCAGGTTGCACGGCTGATCCCCTGAATAGAGCGGGTGAAGCCTATCCAGGGGGGTCCGCAGGCGCCGGCCCATCAAGAGCTCCGCGGGGCTTTTGTTGGTTGTTGGGCAGAGGGTGGAGTGTTGGCTTAGCAGGTAAGCTGCCACCCTCGATTGTCAGTTGCCCCGGTCCATCCGCCCAAGTGCCTCCTTGGCCGATCGGACCGCGCGCTCCACCCGGCCATTTCAGGCCGGGTGGTACGGAGCTGTGGGCACGTGCTGGATTCCCTGACAGGCCAGGATTTCCTGGAATGTGGTGGAAGTAAATTGGGGCCCATTGTCAGAGACAATTATGTCCGGCAACCCATGGGTTGCGAACAAACGGCGTAGGTCCCTGACCATACTCTCAGCTGAGGTGGAGGACATGAGGACCAGTTCCACCCAGCGAGAGTAGGCGTCCACCACAATCAGGAATGTCTGGCCATGGAAGGGGCCGGCAAAATCCACATGTAGGCGGGACCACAGGCCTCTCGGACCCTCCCACTCACGAGAAGGCCCGGCTGGGGGGTTAGGCCGGGAGAGCTGGCAAGTAGTGCAGCGGCCCACGTAGGCCGCAATCTCTGAGTCCAGCAAACACCACCAGACATAGCTGCGTGCTAACACTTTCATCTGCGCTATGCCAGCGTGGTCTTTGTGGAGCAGAGGCAGGACCTGGGCACGCAGCGTGGAAGGGATCACCACCCAATTCCCCCAAATAAGGCACCCACCATGTAGGGATAATTCGGCTTGCCGGGCCTTAAAGGGCCGGAAGCTGTCAGCTACCTTCCCCAGGGGCCATCCTCGTAGGACCCAAGAGCAAACCTGAGCCAAGAGGGGATCGGCCTTAGTGTGGGCTAAGGGGCAGGCCGGAGGAGGCAATTAGTAAAACGGACAGGGAAGGCACTGGGGCCAGGTCAGAATCCGGCAAGGGGCAGCGGCTAAGGGCATCTGCATGCCCCAGCTGCTTGCCCGGATGGTAGAGCAGCGTATAAGAATATGCCACAAGGAACTCTGTCCAACGTGTCATTCTGGGGGAAAGAATGGGGGGGTCGGCTTGTCGCCCGCCAGAAGCCCAAGGAGCAGCTTATGGTCAGTGATAAGGGTAAAGTGCCGACCATACAAGTAGTCGTGAAACTTTTTAACCCTGGACACTGCAGCCAGAGCCTCCTTGTCTATCTGGCTGTAATTGCGCTCCGCAGAGGAGAGTGTCCGGGAGTAAAAAGTCATGGGGGCCTCTGAACCATTGGGGAGGACATGGCTCAGGACCGCCCCCAGACCATAGGGGGAGGCGTCACAGGCTAGCATCAGCGGCACTTGTCATTGTATTGCACTAAGACAGCCGCTGACGTAAGTGTGTCTTTGACAGCCACGAACGCATGCGCTTCATGGCTGCCCCAGTGCCAGGCCGCGGATTGGTCGAGCAACCGATGCAGCGGCTTGACTAGTGACGCCTTGTGCGGCACAAATGGCGCGTAAAAATTCAAAAGCCCCAGGAACGCCTGTAACTCCGCCTTGGAGGAGGGAGTGGGGGCGTTCCTGATTGCTTGCCACCTTAGCAGGTGTAGGGTGGATTCCTTGGGTGTCAATCAAGAAACCCAAGAACTCCACCCTAGGGACAGCAAATGAGCATTTTCTACGTTTGAGTTTTAAACCCACACCCCTAAAACGGAGGAGGACCTTTCTAAGCATTTCGATGAGTTTTGAGTGGCTGGAAGCAGCGATCAGAACTTCATCGAAATACGGAACCATGCCAGGGAGCCCATGGAGCAGCCGTTCCATGAGGCTCTGGAAGATCCCCGGGGCCAAGGATATGCCAAATTGGAGGCGGCGGCAACGAAAAGCCCCACGATGGGTGACGATGGTT